AAGACAATCTCGAAAATATATGTTTTTTTAAATTTTAATTTAATTTTCTTTGTATGTCTTTTTGTCTTCATTTTCACACATTGTCATCTAATTCTGAACTATGTGCCAAATTTGAAGTTTGTAGCTAGTCGGGAAGTTAGTTTAAAATCGATTACAAAATTCCACCAGGACAGACATACACGAAGGCAAGTTTATATAGACGTGGTAATAAAATAGACCACATGTACTAAATCATCCCCTATCATCATTTACTATTCAATATTTTTGAAACTTTGTTAGATATTATAACGCACCAAAATACCACACCAATCTGCAAAATTATAGACGAATTAGATGCTGCAAAGTAAATCATATTTAGATACTTTGGTGCCCCATATGAAAATCTACAGAAATGATTCAGACACTTAATTCCCTTTAGATAGTCAGAAGAGCATGGTCCCTTGGTATGGTACGAAGCGTAAAACTGTTAATTCCAAGTGAACTAATTTGCAATTCGGGATAGTCTGTCGTATTGTCTGAATATAAAAAGGTGTGTTGTTATTAGTTGATTATTTTTTCTTTTCATTACAAAATTAAAAATGTTATTTTTTTTTTCAAAGAAAACAACGGGACACTGTGGAAAGTTTTTGACGATTTTTTGTGCTCTTTGCGTATACATAGAGGCCTATATTTTGCTTTTATATTAACCTATAATTTTTCAGACATTACCCTATCTATTATTTTTATACAACAGAATACGAAGCCAAGCTGCAAAATTTTGGATGAATTAGTTAAGGCACAAGAGAGCCTAATTGTAATGTTAATCTCATTTCATTTTTGTGTATGTGTGTGCGTATATGGGTAAGTATTCTCTGCATGTACAAAAAAGGTTATCCTCTGTATATACATTTCGTGAAGGTATTTTCTGCATATACATTTTGGTTTTATATTAACCTATCATTTTCAAACTTGGCCTTATTTATTATTGCAACGTACCTAAATACGAGGTCAACAATCAAAGTTCATATACGAATTAAGTAGGACACAAGGGACGTAATTGTTATCTCAATTTTCCATTTATACTAAAATATAGCGCATATTCTTAAAATACTTAATAGGCCTATATTCTTATCTAATAATAACCTATAATTATGAAACTTGGTCAGATACCTTGCTATAACGCACCAAACTACCAGACCAAGCCGCAAAATTGTCGAAGAATTAGGAGTTGAACAATAGGGCATAAAAAGGGTGCGCAATTTGCATATCCGTGAAAATAATTTAGAAGCTTGATCTTGATTCCCGTTGAATAGTCAGGTGACTATGTTCCCCTGGCATGGTATGAAGCGGCAAACTGCGAATCTAAAACAAGCGGGTGTGAATCCCGAGGGGATCTTTCATATCGTATGTAAATAAAATGATATTTTTTTTCTTTTTCTTTAACAATATGTGTACGAATTGCCGCCAGAAAGTGGTACGTGATAAATCTTTTCGATGAGTAAAAGAAGATAAGAGTAAAAATGTAAATGTCATTGTAAAAAATAACTCTTTTGGTATATGTACCTTTCGGCAAGTAAGAGATTTGTGCATGTGACAATTTGTTAACGAAGTACCGCTAGAGATCCGTACGCGATAAGTATTATCGATGTGTAGTAGAAGGTAGTAGAATGTCGTTGTAAAAAAAATCTTTAGCTATAAATACAGTGCTCAAAAAAGGACTACCTTGATGAATAACTTTTGATCTGATGATCTTCATGTTCAAGGACTCAATCTTAATGGTTCGAAGGCGGTGACCTCAGATATGCTAATTATTTAGTGCAGACGATATTTTGAGTTACGAAATCAGACGCAAAAACATGCTTTCTCTGAATGAACACGCCTTTTTTATTTTGACGAATTCGGATTTTTGACCCCAAAATATTGGGTGTTCAGGATAGCTGCAATCTGGGAAATAATTAGTTTGGTCAGGAGAGCGGTCCAATGTTTGCCAAAAATTAAAGCCAACAAAAATTCCGGATCAATTAATAGTTTTATTTCAGCTTTTTCTTTACATTTGCTAAATCTTCGATATATTTTTACTATTCCTTGGATATATAATTCGTACGAGTTATTATAATCTATATTTCAAAACGTGAATTTCATATTTCAGTCAATGTTTCTTTACACCAGGAGTGTAGTTTTTAAAATAACAACCTTGCCTTTTGTCAATTTTCAACTTTCATGTAATAAAAATTTATTGAAAAAAAAATTTCAACTATTGCCGATTTGTGAGTGTATGTGGAGGGAATTCCTAAGAGCTAGTTTGATAAAAAAAAAAAAAAACTTTTAATTCAGTAATTATTTATTACTAATTAATTCAGTAATAAGTTTTCAATAGTTAAATTATAATATTGACCTTTTTAGTATTAGTGGCATTAAGAATTTCAGTTGCAGTATTATTTTTAAATAATATTAAGTATAATTTATACATTCTGTCAGATCGTTAAATGCGGAAATTTTTTTTTTTTAGATATTGAAATGAAAAAAAAATCCAATGTTTAATATATACTTTGTTAAACAAGAGATGATTTTTATTATTGACAAAATGCCGTAATGTTTCACGCAGGGCCGCTAAAACCCTAATCACATTCCTGCATACGTGCTCGTAAAATCTGTGGAATCAAAAGTCTCGTGGTCGAACGCCGAGCGATACCATGGGTATTGGGATCTGTTGAAAATTTCCTTCCAATTCAGATATATGTGTAAATATAGAAAGTGGCCTCACAAAGTTGTGATAGCGTGATTGTCCTCAGGGAGGATACCCAGACTATCGCATATTACCCATTGTGCAGCCCAACGGCGACGTAAATAAAAAAGTACCAACCTTAAGAGAAATGCTAACACGTACATAAATCATACACCGTGAGGTTGGCACCTTAGCTCGAAAGCACACGAAGTGATTCGGTTTCTAAGTGGATTATTTCGGTAATTTCGTGGTTTTCAACATTCATAAAATAGTTTTCGTAAAACTGCATACAGCTTTCGTATACGTTAATCGCTTGTAGAGGAAATTACTTTAATGAAGCAGAAAGTACTTAATCTTACATGTTGTTTCTAAACTTTCCCACGAGCGTCGCGTGCAATTATAGTTTGTCTAAGGTAAGAACTCTACCAGCCACGAAGTCTGCTGCTATGGAAGCAAGAATTGTGGATTTCAGGAAGGGTAGCTTCGCTTCACTCTAGGGCTAACACAATAGACCCAAGAAAAAGATTATCTTTTTCTAGCCGATCCGAGCAAAGCCCAGACCTAAAAAGTAACTCTACACCCTTACTTGAAAAAGTTATACCTCGTTACCATAGACACAGCCACGGGTACAGACGAATGGCTAGGGGAGTTCTTACTTTAGACAAATTATAGAAGCAGTGTCAATAGCCGCTAATTGGTGATCAAAATGGGCTACAGGTGGCGCAGAGCAGATCTCTCTACCCTTGGCAACACTTCGTATGTTTATTAGGGGTGAGTATTATTGACTATTTCAACCTTCATCTATCTAAATGTACCTCCAAATGGAGTCAAGTTAACATGTCTTATATATTATTAAATTGGTATTTAATATTTATCGTGGTAGTTTCGCCACATTTAATTCGATGAACTAATACCACTAGTTGATTATTGATGTTTTCAATTATTTATTTATCTATTTAATCTTTCTTTGTTTCCTTTCTTTTTGTTATTGGTCAGGAGACTTCACCGCGTGTTTGGGTGCTGTTTTGTGAGCGAATCAACTGTTCAATGTGGATCATCCATTGATTTCGGTGAGTTCATATCACTCTCGGAGAACACCGATAAGGGGTTATGTTATTGACTATGTCAACCTTCATTTATCAAAAGATACCTATTGATAGAATCAAGTTAACATGTCTTACATACTAGTGAATTGTTATTTAATATTTATAGTAGTTGCATGGGCGCCGGCAGAATAATATAAAAAGGGGTGCAATCCTCTAACAAACTACCCCCCCCCCAAAAAAAGAAAATTAAAAATATTCTGTTATTACATTTTGTTTTGTTATTACATATATACTTTAATCAGTTAATCTTTTTCAAGATACATTTCTTCATTGTTAACAAGATATTTAAAAAAAGAACAAATTTCTTGTACTTGCAAATTTTGCCACGAAAAACTGTATTGATGGCGCTGNTATATATATATATATATATATACATTACTGAAGGTACAACGTGGAATGAAATGTGGAGGAATAGAAAAAATTCTTATGAATCCCTCGAATACATATCAATTTAGTTATTGAGGTCACACCGTTTTATCCAGCTGCAGCGGAGGCAATCAAAATTGGCCTAACTACTACGTGCTACTCCAACTACTAGGTGCACTATTGAACGCACTTTTAGTACAATGCGACGCATCAAAACATGGAATCGGTCTACAACGTCTCACGAGGGATTAAGTAGTTTGTGCGTGCTCAGTGTGCATAAGAAAAGAATCAAAGATGACTCAGAATTCATTGAAAAAGTTATAAGCAGATTTGGACAGCAAACAAGACGATTACAATTCTTGTTTGATTAAACAATTTTTTAATTGCTATGTACTAATATACTTAATATAATTACTTAATTATTTGTTTTTGAATAAAAATATTATTAATAAAAAAAAAATTTCATAATGAAATTGCTTTTCCGTATCTCTTTATTCGCGTGCAGGTCGTTGGGCTACCGAAGCGGGGGTGCCATCCCCTCCGCAGAGGATCAAAATTGTGATGGCGTGTCTTCGGATCATCCTCCGGGATGTTTCCCAGACCGTCGCCAATAGCCCATTGTGCAGCTCTAGTGCGACGTAAATTAACAACAACAACAACCGTATCTCTTTAATTGCTTAAAAAAAAAAAAAGCCAGGCGGTGCAATTGCACCCCCTTGCACCTCCCTGCCTCCGCCCTTGAGTAGTTGTTTTATCACACTTTTACCAATAGCGTGTGGAGATTTATAGGAGAAGGAAGTACCTTAGTTTCCGTCTTGATTTTTAAATAGATTAAAAACTTTTTTTAGTTAGGAAACTACATGGAAAAGAAGACTATATTGAACATAGCTATAAAAGAAAGCGTTGTGGAAATTTGAGATGAGGAGAAAGAAGGGGGAGGGTCAAGATAAGGAACCGGTCTTCGAGCGAGAGTGTTTAGAATATTTGCACATGAGTGAACTGCATTAGTATATTATCCCAGTGAGAACAGTCCGAAAAAGACCTTTTCCGATCACCTTTGAAGGAGAAGGAGAACCTGATTGGTGAAGTGGTAAATGTTCCTTATTCTCATTGGCTACAATAAGAATACAGTGTTTTAGTAAAATTTTACCTTTATATCTATAACCGAGTGCAAAATATTCTCTCACTCAAAAGCGAAAAGCTCATCCTATCTTCTTTTTCACAGACAGGTTTCTGTTTGTTGTTTTGGAAAAAATAAAAAATTCTTACAGATCAATAGATTTATTGAAAATTTATCAGTATTTGTGCCGTTCAATTATAACTTTGTACCCTATATAGCATCATTCTCATTTGCTGATATTTTTCTCACTAATCACTTCTTTTAAATACACTTCAGCCATCTTCATTTCACTATGTTTGACTTCTTGCCTTCATGTTTACGCCGTCACAAGAAAAAGTTACTCTTTTTAGGCGGTGTAGTTGGAGGTGTTGCGTTTTTCAATTCTTATTTGAAAAGAAAGTTCATTGAATGGGAAAAGCAGCGAGCTACTGATGTGTGTGACCAAATTAAGAAATCAAACCACTTTGAAAGCACCATGATGACTTGTGATTCAACATTTGCAACCTTTACTCGTAAGATTCGCGACATTGTTGTTCGAGACGTCGAAGTAGATGACGTGGTTCATGATTTGAAACAGCAACCTACCAATAAACTTCATTTATGGGAGCAACTGAAAATATTAGTTTTCACTCAAGTTATTGGAGAAATGTATGCACAGTGTCTTTTATGTATTTTATTAAGGGTTCAAATGTGCATATTGAGTGGTTATTTTTTTGCCACTCGTAGTACAAATGCAAATTCCACTGAGCAACAACAGAAGTACATGTCACATATCGAAGTCTTTATGTTGAACGGATTAAGGAAATTATTGGTACAAGTCAGATGTGCTTGTGCACGTAATCTTAAGAACTATGCTCTTGATCAACCAATGCGACTTCAAGATATCGAGGACATTATTATTGATATACAAGCTGATATTAACATAAGCGATTCTAAAGTTCTTCCTGACATTTCGGATTTGCTGTTGTACTCGTCAGAAAGTTCTCGTAAACCCTCGGATGATAAGTTTTTGGATGAAATTAAGGCAGAAACTAAAGATGTGCTTGAATGTGATGATTTTAAAGATGTGTTGGATGCTTGTGTCACTTGTGGAATTACATTTATAATGGATCAAATGTCTGAGTGTTATGCTTTTTTGAGCAGTACTACGGAAGATTTTGTGAATTTGAATGAATATACTACACATTTGGCGAAACTTATTCCCACTGTTCATAATTTGCACAGCCAACATGATCCTTCTGGCGAGGCGGGTCTTGCTCATGCTCTAGTGCAAAATGAAAAATTGAACAATTTCGCAGCAAATATTTATGAAGCTTTTAGTGAAAAGTGTTAAATTTCTTGATATTATTAGTGTTTGTTATTGATTGTGATAAATTTTGATTTTAACTGATCCACGTTTTTTTTTTATAATTTTATGATAGTTTTATGTAAGGAAAATTGAACATATCATATAACAAATCAAAATTCTTATTTAATATTGGGACTACAATATTTAAGTGGAAGATTTTCTTATTGTGATCTACAGCAGAATGATCACCAAGTCTCGGCAACTTCTGGGCAGCGGCTAAAAAAAAATTAAATAAAACACAGAAGGAGATCAACTTAAAAGGTATAATTCATAACCACTCCTGGACAAACCTTTATTTTAATTTTTGAAAAATTTGCAAGTTTAAAATCCATTTGGTGCCTTGACAATTGTACTTGGCACACCAGATTACGATACAGAAATAACCCGGGGACTCTATAGTTAATCGTCATAATTCTCAGACAAAAATTATTAATATTTTATGCATTTTGAAGTATACAGGCATACAACAATAAATAAATTGTTGTCTACCAATTATGAATTAACTTCATTACATATTATTACATTAAATGTGTAAGAATTTTGAAAAAATAAATAATTTATCAGTGATCTCTAATCATAATGCTACAACAATGCAATTAAATTAATTTATCAAAGTATGTTATCTTAAAATTAAGAAATACTGAAATTTAATAAATTAGTGATGTTACAACTTTATTAATCTGTGTGGTCAATCAATATAAGTCCACTACTTAAGTGTCACGAGTGAAATTTTTGTCTTTGCTAATATAACAATCCCCGGACCTAATGGAAGCTTTTTTAACATGGATATATCAAATCATCTGTTAAAAAGTTCGTGCAAATTTTCGTTTTAAAAATAATGTTCTTGATTTCTCCACTACTTATATATATTGAAGTTTGCTTATAAATGTTCTTGAATTTGACATTAAATGCTGCAATTGTTGTGAATGAGTGTAAGTATCTTTTTTAAATTGTCATCAAATGTCCTAAATAAGTTACAACATTATTAATCTCTATGGGTGATCAATATAAGTCCACTACTTATGTGTCATGAGTCAAATTTTTGGCTTTGCTAATTTTACAAACCCAGGGCCTAATGGAGGCTTTTATAACATGAAAATACCAAATCATCTGTTAAAAAGTTCTTGCAAATATTCATTGTACTTATAAAGTGAAGTTTGCTGATAAATGTTCTTGAATTTGACATTAAATGTTGTGAATGAGTGTAAGTATCTTTTTTAAATTGTCATCAAATGTTTAAATAAGTTACAACATTATTATTCTCTATGGGCGATCAATATAAGTCCACTACTTATGTGTCATGAGTGTCAAATTTTTGACTTTGTTAATTTTACAAAGCCAGGGCCTAGTGGTGGCTTTTGTAACATGGAAATTCCAAATCATATGTAAGAAAGTTCTTGCAAATTTTTATTATAAAAATAATATTTTTGATTTTTCCACTACTCATATAGTGAAGTTTGCTTATAAATGATCTTGAATATGACATTAAATGTTGTAATTGTTGTGAATGAGTGTAAGTATCTTTTTAAAATTGTCATCAAATGTTAAACAATTTTTTTTTTTTTTGTACATCATGGATTTGACTATAAATGTTAATGAAATAAACTTTGGCAGTTCTCAAAAATTTCTGTATCGTTGTTTACATGTGTATTTTAATCCCTCATTGTGTGGCGTATTTTTATTATAATTTTTTATGTCACTTAAAAAAAGGAAAATAATCACTTAAAAATTGCTGCCTACTTCTTAGAATGGCAGAATTCCGAAAATTTTTTTTTCCTGGAAGGAAAAAAAAAAGTACTTTCTCCTATACAGTGCTTGAATATTTCTCTTTCCATGACATTTCATTAGATATTCGTAAACTGAAAATTATTCATTAGATATTCGTAAACTGAATACTATGGCTCTTTTAATTGTATATATAATTTTCTTTATTAAAATTTTTATGTTTCATATGCTATTAAACTAATCCTGCAGGGTGGCCACCCACCTGGAAAACCTTGAAAACCTGGAATTATCAGGGAATTTTTTTATACTGGAAAAAACCTGGAAATATCAGGGAAATTTGGATAAAAACCTGGAAAAATCAGGGATTTTTAAAGAAAAGCTGGAAATTTTTATTTGATGATTTTTTCAAATTTCGCTAATTTAAATTATTTGCTAATTTTCTTAATTTAAATTATTTCATCCATTATACCCACTTTTTTTTAACGGAAATGTATCGCCAAACAGTTGAAATATCATCAACTTAGCGATACTTTGCTTGCATCAAAATTTGCTCCATTATAGTTCTGTTAAACTAGAATGCCATATAAAATTCTTCCACGGTTGCTAAACAAATGTGGAAACTTTTGACCGCTATGGGAATTTAGGAAAATTTAGGTAAGATTCTGGTGGAAAAAGGGATTAGGATATTAGCTTCTGTTTTTAAATTCTGTCCTTGGGCTAAATCCATTTATGGCTCAAGTTTGTTCCGATGCTTTGGTGGTTATTTTTTTTCTCTATTTTGACAAAATGTTTTTGTATTTTTAACTTTATAAAATTCTCCAAAAATTAGTTGGTTATAATTTTATGATAATAGATTTTATATCGCACTCTTTTTCTGAAAGCTTTTCTACTCCTATTCAAAGAAATCTGTGAATTATTTTTTCTGAGCAAACCAACCAATCACACATTTTTTTACAATCACTAACAGCAATGTTTGTCGACAAATTGTTACAATTGTTGCATTAATGCTAATTTTTTCTATTTCATTTTAACCTCTTATAACATATTTTAATTTTAAACAAAAAAGGCTCCTTTGTTGGTCAATATATGATTTTTGATTCAAAATTTTGTGCCAAAACATTAAAAAATAAATAAAAAATCTTGAAAATTGTCAAAATAAATTATTTTTTTCAAGATGATATGTTAAAAAAATAACATTTTGAATAAAATATTTTATAATATAGACACTTTTCTTGTACACATCCTATACTTTATAAGAAAAAAGAAACAAAAACCTGGAAATTTTAAGATTTTTATCTGGAAAACCTGGAAAAATCAGGGAAATTTGAAATCTGATTTGAGTGGCCACCCTGTCCTGATTAGTACTCACTTATTTATTGTGTTAACATCTTTCTGGAAAGAGTTATAAAATATTTAGTTTCCTTGGAATAATCTTATTGCACATGTTTATTATTTTTTACATATAGTAATGTAAATCAATTTTCACAGCTTTTTTCAACAGAATCTATTTTTTCTTTTCAATTTAAATATACTCTATGAATCAAATAATCAAAAATTTGTGGAATTGGGCGATTGTTATATGCAAAGTTATCCTATTGTATTTTAAAATTATGTTTGAGCTTATATTAATTAAAAAATGTGATTGATCACCCTAGAAGTATGTGATTTCATAAGTTTTGCATTTTAAATCTCTGATAAAAGAAGTAATTAAAAATAAATATTTGTTACTGGGTGTGAAACCATGTCTCGTATTATAAATATTTTTTAGTAACTCCAATCACTATACTTGAATTGATCTCTTGTGTTAAAACTGTTTTCACATAGATATTATCTGTATGTGTGTGATTAATATTATATATGTATCTAACTCAGGCAGACAGAACCATTTTTAAATACATTCCTGACTGCAAAAAAAAAAAAAAAATGTTTCGAGAGTTAACATTGCTGCACTCTATACAGAGATTATTAAGGTTCGATTTAAAAGGTAATGAGAATGAATTTCTAATATTTTGCTACGATGCTAAATATTAGTACGATATAGATAAAGATTAGAGATAGTAAAATAGTATTTTTTGGTTATACGATTGCAAATGAAAAGTTGCCAAATAATGTAGACCTTTTTTTTATCATGGGAATTTTATCTATATAACTGAACAGTATAAAAAAAATCTTACTAAAATTAAAAAAATTAAAGTTAAATAAAAATTTAAATTATCAGTAATTAAATGAATCAGCAGTGGACTTTTCATTAAAACTGGTGCTTAAAAAGAGAGAAAAAACTTTTTCTGAAAAGAAAAAAGATAAAAATTCAGTGTTAATAAGATATGGTGGCTTAATTTTTACAGAAAATGTAAGGAGGGCGCATTTATAGGGATCAAAGGACATGCAGGGTGAGTCGTTCTTCTAAAAACGCTTAGGGAGAACACTGGTTTTACAGAATTATAGTTTTATATAGACTCTAGTACAGTGATATAAGATCGTGTGGTCCTAGAGCAGTATTTTCACATTGCTGTGTTCTGAAAACCTATTTTGTTACTGAGGTAATGAACTGTTTCAGAATGTTGTTTTTCATTGGTATTTGTGTGTTGCAGAAAATCGAGATGTGCTGAAGCAGACATATTGTAAACTGATTTATCTGTTTGAACAGGAAGAGACAGTATTATGCAATTTTTAATTAAAAAGATTTTATTGTAGATATCCATAACATTTTTGGTTCTCTTAATTTCATTAATGTTCCACAACATGTCGATTTTATTCTGCGGAAGTCTGTCATTTAATGTTGTAAATTGATATCTATGTATGATATATGATCTAGTATGATATATGATCTATGTATGATGTATGGTCTATGTATGATATATGATTTATGATCTATGTATGATTTATGATCTATGTATGATATATGTTCTATCTATGATATCTATTCATGTATCACCGATAACAGGAAGAGACAGTATTATGCAATTTATAATTAAAAAGATTTTATTGTAGATATCCATAACATTTTTGGTTCTCTTAATTTCATTAATGTATCAAAACATGTAGATTTTATTCTGCTGAAATCTGTCATTTAATGTTGTAAATTGATATCCATGTATGACATATGATCTATGTATGATATATGATCTATGTATGATATATGATCTATGTATGATTTATGATATATGTATGATTTATGATCTATGTATGATATATGTTCTATGCATGATATATGTTCTATGTATGATATCTGTTCATGTATCACGTAAGTTCATACAGAAGATAATGCCATGTAGTTTATCATTTAGAGAAAAAATCGCTTTGAATATTTGTTACACTTTGTCCTATTTAATTTCTCCAATGAAAAATTTTGTACCGAAACATTATTCATTTAATGATTTGTTAGAATTTCTTATTTAATGTTCAAGTCAAATTGTTGTTAATAGATGTATCTGCCTTAAATAATAAATTGTTATTTAATGGAGGAAAATACTCCATTGTTGGGGATAAACAACCATTCGAAAAACTTTTTGCTATGTGTCAATATATTTTTTATTTGGATTTCATTCATGTTAAATTTTGTGCGAAACATTTATTTATTATTTTTTTTGTTGCTACATTTGATATTTAATGATTAAGGAGAAGAGGTATAATAAATGTTTTTATATTAATTTCATCAAAGTACCCAAACATATTGATTTTCTTCTGCTGAAATCTGTCATTTAATGTTGCAAATAGCTATGTATGATATATGAGCTATGTATTATATCTGTTCATGATGTTATGTAGGTTCATACAGAAGATAAAGTCATGTAGTTTATCATTTAAAGAAAAAATTGCTTTGAATATTTGTTACACTTTGTCCTGTTAATTTTATAAATGAATAATTTAGTACAGAAACATTACTCACTTATGATTTGTTAAAATTTGTCATATAATGTTCAAGTTAAATTGTTGTTAACAGATATATATATTTGTCTTAAATAATAAATTGTTATTTAATGGAGGAAAATACTGTATTGTTGAGTTGAGGATAAATAACCATTCCAAAAGATTTTTGCTATGTATCAATATATTTTTTATTTTGATTTCATTCATGTTAAATTTTGTGCGAAACATTTATTTATTTATTTATTTTGTGTTGCTAAATTTGGTATTTAATGATTAAGGAAAAGAGGTATAATGAACAAATACGTCTGTTTAAAACTCTGCATTTTGTAACATAGATGAAAAATGATATGTTAAATTAAGGAATTGAACATTTCTTAAAATTTAATTGTAAATATCTGTTAGATTTATAGTGTTTTGTTCATTTGATGAGAGGTAAACTTAGTGCATTATTTTACCAGAACTCATTGTCATTTAGTATTATTATTATTTTTATTTAAAAAATCTCATTTGATTTATTTTAAATAGTGTTCATAAATTAAGAGCAAAATTGTACAAAAAGTTTCCTTGCCATAAAGTGTTTTTCCCACTAATTTAGAAAGGAACTGGCTTGGGATAGAAAACCGCCAGATCATAAATGGAACTGAATCATTTTCACAATTAAAGAATTACTGTTACTAATTTGAATTATTTATGAAACATTTGGACTGACTTGAATATTATGTAGTTTCTTAATTGTGGAAATGATTTTTTAAAAATAAATTCTTATACCTCACATTTTATTAAATTAAGCGAAATTAGTACTTATCATTTTCTTAATTAAACTTTTAATGTACTAATTGTAATTCCGATAATCAGTTGACATAAAATTATCAAGAATTGTAATTGTAAAAAATATTTCTTTAAACAATTAATATTTACGTCTTCATATTTTACATAAATATCTCGCTTTATGTAATACTGAATGCTGATATTACATGTTTTTTAATGTTTGAGAATTCGCATGACATGTTTAATAAATGTACTGTTATCAATTTGTTGTTGTTTCTTATAATTCTTATTCTGTGTTTTCTTACTATTCACTTCTGCAATTAGCCATATAGTAATTCTATACCGTTAAAAGATGGTGTGTATAAGGAAGAAACAGTTTCCTAAAACTGGCTATCAATTTTTTTTGTTATTGATATTTTAAAAAGTCTTACATTTCTTAGTGCATCAACTTAGTTTTTTGTTACTTTTATTACAGTTATTGTTAATAAATTCTAGAGCATTTTTTGCTATTTTTTAATCATTAGATTCGAATTAATTTTGTTTCTTTAATAATTGTTAGTAGTTACTTACAAAAAAACTGAGGTGGATTTCAATTTTGAAGTCAAAAGACAAATTTGAAATTTAATAACCCATTTGCTTGGAATTTTGTTTTTTCTACAAATACATGCTGTTAAGAATTAAGCATAATATTATAAAAATTTGACTTATGCTCTTTTTTGTATATATTTTAACAAAAAGAAATGTTAAAAAAGCGTCCAAGAAAAAATTCAACTTCCTTTTTCATCCATTTATTTGGAAACAAAAGTCCATTAATTTTTATTATAGATCTTTATATATATATNCAATATTCTATTGATATACTTTCAATCAAGTTCGATGATAAAAAAATAAAATAAAAATAAATAAGTAAGAAATGTCATTTTCCATAGAGAAATGTCAATTGCGAAGGTGGATGTAGTATGCTGAAACAACAAAGATACTTCATTTTAAAGCCGATTTAGAAATGTCTTTGACACCGAATGGTGTATACAAGAGTAAATCCTGGAACAGCTAACTACGCGACAGGTGTTCGAATTTTCGAAGGTAAAAAGCTAATCGTCTGTTGATGCAGAAGTCTTCTCTCCCTCCTCTTTTTTTCTGGGTTTTCTGTAAGCGCGGGAAAAGTAGGTGCTGTGAGAAAATCATTGTTATTATTATAAGTCAGGTGTTGCGTTCTTTTTTTATATTTTTGTTATTTTTCCCCCAAGAACATGATATTAAATTAGTTTCAGAAAGCGAAGTGAAAGATATTATTTCATAGAAGGCACAGTTAAAAATAAGGAATAAAAAAAAATAGTGTTGAAATAAAAATGAGGCGAATGGAACTGTTAATATTGAATAATGATTGAAGCATTAAAAGTGAAACAGAAATGTAACGAAAAGAGTTGTGTGATAAATTATTGTTGTTTTAATTATTATTATTATAAATCAGATGTTTCCTTCATTTTTGTTCTTTTGATGATTTGTTCCAACAAATACGGTTTCAGATAATTTGAGGATATAAGAAAAAAGAAATGTGTTATTTTATAATTGAAAATGTTCTTTACAGTTTAAAGGAAGAAGTAGAAAGAGTCGGACGAAAGAAATTTTTAATAGTAAAAATTTATAATAGGAAGAAATTTATAATAGTGAATGAAGAATTAAAGTATGCTTTTGTTCATAAAATTGACAAAGAGAGGTATTACCTGATAAAGAAAGGTATTACAAAGAGAGGTATTACCTGATTAAAAACTTAGTTCGCTGCAAATATATATAAATGGAAAACCACTGCGGCCACCGTGGTTTTTTCTTGTTCTGTTTTTCATCTTTTTCCTCTTTAGGCTACTGTGTAGTTTTGTTCCTAACCTTAATTTTTTCACATTTCATCGGCAACTTTGCATTTTATATTTCAAATCACTTATGTTTCTTCTCGTTCAAATCTGGGAAGTCTTGAAAATCGGCTCCAGTTCTTAAGCGTCGACTGTTATATGTTATATATATATGTGTGTGTGTGTGTGTGTGTTACTTTGATAATTCGAAAAGCATGTGGAATTAATATTTTAGATGGGAAAATTTCATAGCAAAACGTCTATTGTCGTTAATGTGTTATGTAAAAGGAAGTAATATGCTTTGATAAAATTTCTTACTTGATTTGACTTTTAATGAGCCTGCTTATCATAGAGGGAATTCACCACAATTGTTCTCTTAGATACAAGGATGAACAACCCAATTGTTGAAGTTTTAATAAAGGTAAAACTGAATCCTTCAACTGTTGTCTTAAATATTTTGCGCATGAGTGACTTTGTTTTTATTAATTATTTCTTATGAATTAACGTATGTTCAAAAAATTAACTTAGTTTTACTTCATTCTAGATTACCATTTCGAAATGTTAATGGTGGAGATCTATATTATATACTAAAAACAGCAAATTTTAGAAAATTAATTTTTCTTTACTAATGCCACTTGCGATTTTATATCAGACTACCACTTCTTAAATTTTCTTCGAGCGTGTTTATCGTGTTTACGAATATAATTTTTTAAAAACACGAATGTACGTTTTTGGAAGCGATTATATTGATAACGGTAAAGATTGTTTTTCAAATATGCTATGCATTACATTAAAATAAATTAATAAATACATTGAAAAGAAATTTATGTACAAATGAACTAATTCATAAATCCTGAGTTTTTATTTGCACGCATCCTCAAGGAGTCATAAATTATTCTATTTATAAATGTACAACTTTTCAACAAGATAGGTTAGCTTTGTTTTCGAAAAAATCTTGACAGATAACGAGCAGCTTTCTTTTGATTTTCTTTTTTCTCTACTCGTTTGCTTTCTGGGCCTAAAAATAGAAGAATTTTTTAAATATTAAATCATATTTTTTAACCTACACAGTATTTAGAGAAAAAATAAAGCATAAACCACAAATAATTATTATATCAACAATAAAATGTAATTATTAGAAATTTTTAACTACCTGTATTTTTCAGAAAATTTATATAGCTGCTATGATCGTAAATTTTGAGCTATCTTTCATACGACTAAAAACTTAATTAAAATCTGACGAATGATTATCCAGGTCAATTAAATCATTCTTATCATTATTTTGCTGGAATAAGACAGCTGTTTTACTACTTTACTTTTATATGAGTAAATAAATTTTTTATTTCTCTGAAAGCATTCCGAAGCCAACTCTTAAGTGATTGCTAGGACTAGGAAATGCACTACCACTTTTTTTCTTCAAAAAAGTAGTTTTCATAGTACCGAAATGGTGCGTTCGGTGTTCAGACCTCTTCAAAACGGAATGAGTTTTAAAAATAAGGATCAGTTTTCATTTTTAAAATAGAAAACGAAATATATTCTCAGTACAGCCATCAGTTGTTGACCAAGAGGGATATTAACAGCTTAAGAGCTTCGAGACCAATCCAATCCCATGATGATTTCGATGTGGTCAGAAATGCTCACCGACTGCTTTTTCTTCCAGACAAGTTGGTTCCCATGGATTTCCCCTTCCATTGGATGGCAAAAATTTAAGGGATGATAGAAAACATCTAAACAAGCAATTTTCCCTATACAATGTATAGGTGGAGACTGTGCGATAAACTACTAGAAGTATCCGTTACTGTTGTTAGTTTTCACAGCGATCTTATTCTTTTATTTCCACTGACATACAGACTATTTACAAAGCATTAATAGCAAGAAAAAGAAGGAAAATCGTTTGGGTTGCTTAGCAACCAGTCAGAGTTGCAGTTGTTATTTTTGCAAGAGTTGGCAGACGATTTAAAACAGTTATTTAAACTAACTGTCCATTGATGTCACAACAACTGTCACAGAAAAGAACGAAACGCCAAACTGACAGAGGAAGTACTAAATTAAATTGACGTAAATTAAATGACCTGCATTGCTCGTTACGTCATAGCTATAACGCATACATTAGTGCTCTTTTCAGTGGTTTTTATAATTTTGCCCACGAATTTCGAAACATCTTCTATAGGCTTCAAAAAACAACTGGAAATAGAACCCAGTACTGCACTAGAGTAGTTCAGTGCCTTAGCCACTGCCACGTCGTGGTTCGGATAAATATAAGCTTAGCTATTTTATAAGTTTAAATTTGATTTAAAATTATTTTAACCGCCATTACGTTAAAATAATTAATAAGTTTACACTGTTCTTGAAAAATAAAATGTATTATTAATTTATAAAGAATTTTTTAAGTTACAACTAAACCTTTTTACGAGCATTTCAAGGCCTAAAACTTATTAGTTTGTAATTTTCAGTTATTATTATTTGACGCTGACATTTTCCTTTCCAAAATTTATTCACCACGACGTTAAAGTCACCATTTATTACTCTTTTTTTTTTCGAACGATCTGTGCGATCTCTGTTAGTAATCTTTTACTTACCCATTTTATTTTCATCTGTTTCCTCTTCATCATTGCAAACTTTTGAAATTTCTCTGGGAAAGAACTGGTATAGAATCTTGATGTTTACTACCTTATCTATTTCATTAAGGTTATGAAGCAATTTACTGCAGAACATCTGACTCGATGAATTTCGAGCTTTCTTATCTGCTGCGTTTTCGTCTCTAAACCTATTTTCATTGTCTCTGAGAGGATGAAATTCGTGCATTTTTGTTGGCGCTTTCGATTTTTTTCGACATTTTAGAACTTGTCTAACAGTTTTTTGACCCTCTTTAATTACCAGTTCATAATCTGAATTGTCATCAGAATATCCTTCTTTTAGAAATTCATTATTCTCCATGCCTAATGCAGGGCTGTTAAAATCTAAATATTTTCTAAATCCTCTCTCGACAAATTGTGCTTTTCTCAATTTGTGTTGCTTCGGGTTTGATGTCTTTTTAAAATTTCTTCTTCTTTCAATCCTTTTAGATGATGGAACAGTATCCGCATCTGGTCTATCTAAATTCTCAATAATACTTGGTTTTCTAAAATTACATCTTAAAAGCGAGGCATCTCTTGATTTGCGCTGCTTTAAAATTAATGCTCTCTTAAAATTCTTGTTTTTGGCATTTGCTTTTGGCAAGCAATCATCATCTATTTCTAAAGTTTCTAAATCCTGAACCATTCTTCTCAGTTCAAATTCCTTATTTTTAAGCCTAAACGCTTTCTCCAGGCGCAGGCCCAGTTTCCTCGTAACAGTTTCGGCTTCACCAGTTTTCGCTCCGTCTTTATCTTCAAGTTCATTATCTGAATATTTGCGCAAAAAGTGATCATTCTCTTTAACAAATCTAAATCTGTCAGAAGAAGTCGACTTTTTACTGTTAATCTCGATAGAAGACGTGTTTCCCAATATGTGTTGCCGATGGGATAATGTGTTCTTAAAATAGCTGTTATTTTCATTAATTTTCAAGAAGCTATCGTAATCCGTTTCCATGTTTTCCGATTCCTCATAAATTCTTCTTGGTTTTCGTTCATTTTTTCCATGGTTCAACGCGCGTGCACCTCGTTTCTTGCATGATTTTCTTTTACTATATTTTTTAGTCACCACATCCATGTATATTGGTACGCCAAAATCGATACGATAATTACATAATTGTTTATCCATTGCAGCCATTAATACATGGGTTGAGTTTTTTGAATCAAACGACGAATTGATATTATTTTCTGAACCAGTCAGTATACTAATCAACAAAGGGGAATTTTTGTTGATTGTTTCTTTTATTTTTGGCATCGTTATTAAATTTGAACTGTCACATCCTCGTTTCTCCTCTGTCGGTGACGTTTCAGTTAGGATAACGTAGGATCCATCACTTCCATTCGCATTTAGTTTTTTAAACGTACCGCATATACCACTCGTGTTTAGGGGTTCATCGTTTGCTTTCTTCTCCGGTGACAGAAAACAGTATTTAACAGGTGTGACTACCGATGTCTTCTTCTCTGTTCTGGAGATGTTCGCTTCACGTAAGGGCCGATCTTGCATAATGGCTGCTAAAAGAGAAATTGGCGTTATATTTTAAAAAGCTACACTTTCATAATGGTTAAATTGGTGTTATATTTTAAAAAGCTACACTTAGATAAAGGTTAAATTGGTGTTATATTTTAAAAAGCTACACTTTGATAATGGTTAAATTGGTGTTATATTTTAAAAAGCTACACTTAGATAAACGTTAAATTGGTGTTATATTTTAAAATGCTACACTTTGATAATGGTTAAATTGGTGTTATATTTTAAAAAGCTACACTTAGATAAACGTTAAATTGGTGTTATATTTTGAAAGCTACATATTTGGTCATCATATTGCACTTATGAGACAGATACAAGTATGCTTTTGGTAAATGTTGAATTAAAATTTATGTCCTCACAACTAAGTTAAAATATTTTAATGTAGCAATTACTGTTTTTAAAATTGTACTTTTTCTGAAACAACATGGAATGCAATAGCTAAAACTGCGCATCAGAAAAACATTTACAGTTTATTATGCTTCTTTTCACAATAACAACTTAAGTTTATCAATATCAATGTAATTTTTTGGTTTGTTTCTTTTATGATTCATCTTCAAAAACTTAAAGAAAAGCTTAAATGCTACTTAACAAATTGTAATAATTTTCTTTATTGAAAATAATTGAAGTGTTTACAATTTATTGCCTGATTCTTATAGAATGCAATGAATTACAATCAACATCCTCCGACTACGAATAGGTACTTTGGATTCTCTATTTGTTATCAGATGATGTGGAGATTCTTTCGTACCGAAAAATTTATATCTCCATTTATACATTTCCATTTCTGCTTTAATTCCTTGCCATATTTTGATATGAAACACATGATACAAATTTGCTAAATACAATGCATTCGGTGTCCTTTTACTTGACCAGGGCGTTGCACTTAAACAATAAAGCCCCCCCAAAAGATTTTAGGTCCCTGTATTGTACAAAGTAGGTAATCATCAAATATAACGTACACAAGTAATCAATTTTCTTTTCTTCCGAGATCAATCCGACAGCTACTGCGCGATAAACTATTTTTTTATAGCTGTTGAAAAGCTCTTCCATTCTTTTTTTTCCTAGAGAGACTTTTCTTGCTACGCGAATATATAAAAAACCTGTTTTGATGTTTACAGAGATATCCGTTTAAAATATTTTTTCTTTTTAAAATCTGTCAATAGATTTTATTGCTCATGTTGACCTACAGAGAAACACAACTTTTTAAAATAAGTTTAAAATTCGTATTTTTCAACTGGGTACCTGCAATTCGAGAAGAAGAAGACCTCTAAAATTAGCTGGTTGTGTATGACCAAGATGACGTGTTAAAGTTACAGTTATTATTCTTGTTTTATTATCACGCTGAATCAGTTTTCGGATCAGATTTAATTGGGTAACTGCGAACAACTTTGCGTGTGTGCGTCGAACCTGATTGGCTGTTGAATCGTGGCATAAGCAAATGCCACGATTCAGCAGCCAATATAGGTTAAGGCTCCTATACTAATTCAGGAGCTCTAATATAGGTACGATCTTCACGAGTAACGTCGCACGCAGTTACCCAATTGAAACATTGCATGTTGCATGATTTAATGCTAAACGGCTGTTTGAAATTAATATTCGAAATGTATAACTGCAACAACTACATTACTCGACTAAATACATAACTGCCAACATATGCACTTTTTTTAAAAATGTCTGTCCATGTAAAATGAAAATTGCAATGATAACTGACAGCGGAAATTTTTAAATTTTGGCAGCATCTAAACAGGCATCAAATTACTGTCAGAACTTTATCTTAAATTAAATTATTTATATAATAACTATTTTTCGCCCAGTTTTAAAGGACTTTTTACAAGTACATAACGTACAAAGAACGGTTAATGTAGGTAAAGATACGTATACTCACGAACAGTGGTGTAAATAACACTCTCATAAACCCTGCGGTATAGGAGGGAGAGAACGAGTTTTGAGGGCACCCTCAGCGAAAAAAAAATTACACTATGAGATAAATAAAAATATTTTTTAGTTCACTATAATAATGACCATCTAACTAAACTTTGAATATAATACTATAAAATATTGAGTTTTCTCCTATTAAAAAAAATTTTTTTTTTCATATGGTATTTGTTTAAAGTGTCTCTACCATTTCATCGCAATTACTATTTACATTTTCTTAGATTAAAATAAAATTAATGACTATAAATATCCGAATATCTCTTCCTCACAGTTTTTTTTGTTTCATATTAACTTTTAATTTTGTATAGTAAGTCTAAGATAGGACGCACTTATAAACCACAGGCGAATGCACATAAGTCTATGTACGTTACTGTTCACCAAGGTCCTGACATACTACAAGTGTTCAATGCTTGAACCCTTGGTCACCCGACACCCTTTCCAATTGTGCATCGGCTCCTTCCAAACGTTCAATTTCTCGTTTCTGTCAGTGTCCATCACGACCATAGAGCTCACGACAGTTGCGTAGACTGCATTGGGAGCACATACACTTTAAAGGAGAACGTTTATTTTACTCCCAATTTCCAGCATAAACTTATTAAGAACTAAGTTTAATTAATGCCAATACCAACTACACTGTAGCAATAAATCACTGCTGTTGGGACAAACATATAGTTTGTCTAAAATAAGAACTCCTCCAGACATTCATTTGGACCTGTGGCGGTGACTATGGTAACGAGGTATGACTATTTCAAGTAAGGGTGCGGGGTCACTGTTTTGGAGTGGTTTCGACTCGGGTCGGTGGGAGAAAGGGAATCTTTTTCTTCGGTCAATTGTGTTAGTCCTAGATTACAGCTACCCTCCCTAAAATGTGCCATTCCATAGCACCAGACGGCCTCAGACTTTATGGCAGGAGGAGTTCTTAGCTTAGACAGACTATAGATGGAAACATCTATTGAATGTACCAAAAGAACTGAGTTGGGTGACATAGGACAAACACATCATCTCCAGAGTGTATCTGAACTTTCTTTCCATATATCACCCGCCTTATCACTCGTCACGTCCTTGTTATCAATTTCTGAGACTGTGTAAATAATTTACGCTGATCTTGTGTATTGATGAATTTTCAAAATACAGTGGTGGTCAATATCGCTACAGTGGCGGTGCAATATCAAAATTTGTTCCAAGTTAGTTGCTACATTTCAAATAGGTGTAGTTATAATTAACTCCCGATGCAGTTAAGTAGACCAACACCAGTAAAATTATACTTCTAATGAATTCATGATTCATTAACTAGATGATAATTTTATGCGATTATTGATGCAAATATCCTTAGAAAATGAGGCGTGGCCAAAGAGCATGCGAATCCTCGACTTTTAAAACTAATTTGAGGCTGATTTAATGATGGAATGCTTGGTAAGTAAATGCTAATTAATAGCACAACACTCTGAAATCATTGAAAAATGTTCATCAGTATTAATAATTAGTACAAAAATATTCAAATGTAGCAATCAATTCGTGACAGAGGGTGTATAATTTTCAATAATTTTTTGTGAAAAATATCGTCTTTGCTATGCTATAAGAGATATTTTGTTGTATTTACTTGCTAGAAAAGTAATTACCAAGAAAAAAATAGGTTCAATGTCTTCTTGAAACAATCAACTTAAATCTACCATCTTTATATATTTGTGTCTCTATAGAAGAATCTAGAATTCATTTTTTCTTTCTGATAGTGTCGAGCTGTCTACATGTCACATTCTAATCACGCTATCCTATGATTACTATGCACCTAATTGCTTCATTAAATTGTTTTCAAGTAATGAAACAAAAAAGTTCTTTTCGTTTTATTAGAACCACGCATTTTATGTCAAAACTACCGAGTAGGAAAATGACAACAAAAAGTAGTTAAGAAAATAATCTCCGCTAACTGTCCAATTAGCTAATCAATATAATGCTTAGCAAATACATTTTCTCTGGAAAGAAATTGTTTTAATATACTTAATAGGAAAATGCACTTTTTTTCACAATATATTTTTTTTTGTGTATCGCTTAGTTTATTGTATATTGATTGCATTAGTGGAATATAATAAACTTTTTGTCAATTGTATTACTTTACAATTTCATTTTTATTGGAGCTGTAATTTTTAGTGTAATGGTTTTAGTTTTAATAGGTGAATTCCGATGTAAGTATACTATGTGCTAAATAGTGGGTATTAATTTTAAAGTAATTGGAATAATAGATGACTAAATTTGGCATTTCATATTTATGACGTGTTATTAAAGATCTATTTCTCTTATGTGGTACTATGAATTGAGTTGTATTTAATAAGTCTCCATTAGCAACACTACATTTTCAAAAATGTTTGTGTTAACGGTGGATATTCTGTATTTAAAAGAAACCGATAAAGGCAATGATACGTTTATGATATTATCGTATATGGCATATCTGCATCATATTTCATATAGTAAATGCAAATAACACTTTAATATCTATTCTAAAAAAAGTTATTTAGTGCCTTAATGGTGTTTTCGAATCGCGATAGCATTAAGTTTACATAATTTATTTAGCACATATTTTGCGTAATGTAACCATTTTTTAACTAATTTATTTTTAAAAAAAAGATCATGATCAAAAAATAGATCATGTAGAAAAGGTTTTCATGAAAACATACTTTGAAATAAATTATAAGAATAAAAACCAATAAAACACATTTACAAATTTACAAAAAATAGACATTTGTGCTTATTCCATAGGGATAATGTTATTTATTATTTATTTAATAAATCATAAAAGCTAATTAGATACCTGCAAGTGACGTCATCTTTGGTAAACTGTGATTCATTAACTGTGAAACATTTTGATTAAGCAGATCATGTTCGACACACACGCGTGACGTCGCTTATAGGTATCCAATTAACTCTGATTTAAATCATGCTTAGGCATAATCTGTTCACTTCTTCTCCAGTTGCAAGTACCCGATTTTAATTACTAATAAGGTCACACTGATGCCAACAATCAATTTACCTGTTAGCTATCTATATAGAGGTTATTACCCGATTACTGGTATTTTCCAATATACCGAACTAGCTATGTTATAATAATAACTATCAATTAACCAAATAAGCCTGTTAAAAAGAATTTTATGTTTCGCAAAATTATTTATTTATTGAAAAAAATATATACTTCTTTGTTAGCCTACTTAGTAACAATTTTTTTCAAATTTTTTTTAATGAAGAATGAAGTACGTTTATGTTCTCTGATGGACCACTGTTTAAAATAGGACAAACCAACAATCCTTTTCCCCTGAAATGGAAAATTTCATCGTTACCGCTCTCAGAGGGGGGGGGGGCTTAAAACGATACTAAATCAAATAAATTACAAATATTTAAAATAGTTTTCATTAGTTATTTTGTAAATTTGTATAGTTTTTGGCGATAAATGTTAATAAATCTTTTTGCCAACTTTATATCATTATACTTCAAATTTTTGAACACCTATTCGATAAGTTGGGGTATCAGTATTTTTCTTTTTCAGATTCTGCGTCAAAATGGTTACCAAGTTTTACCGATAACCAGGTAATAGCACCCGAGGAAGTTTAAAAAAAATTAACCAAGTAATAGCTCACAAGAAATTTAAAAAAAAAAAAAAAATCAAGGGGGCATACTTGAAGGATAAAATTCTTAAGCACCTTGAAAAGAACCATTATATAAATTTTTTCATAGTATCTTGCCTGGAATAGTTTCAACGAATTTTACATTTGGAGTATGCACCTTTCTATAATGGCTAAAAAAAAATATCTGCTTGCCACTGCAAGGTTGCCAACGGTACTTGGTGATCATTTTTGCACTGGTTCAAATAAAAAGTTAAAACTTCGAGTTTGTAAATAGTCATAAAATAAAAGGTTGAAGTGAATGTGAAAACTCTGCTAGTACCATAAAACGTGTAAGTAATATCTTTATTAGTTTATTTATCCAATTCATCGCAACATTTTGGAATTTCTCTAGGAAAAAAATGGTGAACAATGTTAATAACTAGCATTTTATCTATTTCATTAAAGTTTAGAGGTGATTTGTTACATGAATTCTGATACAACGAACTTCGATCTTTATTGGCTGGGCCTTTAAAACTGAATTTATTTTCGTTAACTTTCACAGGATGTGATTCCCCACTTTTTGTCAATCTTTTCTGTCCATTTTTACTTTTTAGACATTGTGTAATAGTTTTTACTTCGACTTTGAACTCGTTTTCGTGACTGGATTTCTTAATGGATTCGCCATTTTGAAATTGATTTAACTTCTTAAGTAATGTAACACCGTTCAAATTTGTATTTTTCCTAGAGTCTTTCTTAACAAATTGCAAATTTTTCAAGGTATGATTATTAGATGACACTTTCTTACATTTTCTCGTATTTCCATTTACTTTTAGCGAGTAAGCATTGCCATTGCTCTTATCTGTTTTCTTAATAATTCTTCTTGGTATTCTAGAACTTCTTTCTATAGAAGATGCGTTCTTAAGTTCGTGTTTATTCGGGATTAAAATTTGTTTAGAATTCTTAATTCTTTTATTTATTATTGGAGAGAAGATCTCAGTAACAGTGGTTTTTGAATTCTTAATAATCCTTCTTGGTATCCTAGAGCCTTTCTTCATTAAAAATGAGTTCTTCGATTCTTGCACGTTCTTCGATTTGTCTTGTTTAGTGGTTAGCATTTTCTTGCAAGTCTTATTTTCCTCATTCATTTTTGACGAGTGAGCACTATCTGTATCCGTGTTTTCTAATTTTTTAGCATTTCTTATTGGTATTTTAGAGCTTATTTTAATAAATGGCAAGTTCTTTGATTTAGGCTGCTTACAGGTTAATATTTCCTTACAATTCCCAGTTCTTTGTTTCGATTTTCGCGAGCATGAATTTTCTGCATCAGTGTTTCCTAATTTCTCGATTATTCTTTTCGGTATCCTAGAGCTTCTTTTAATCATAAGTCTTGATGGGTCTTGTTCTGAGGTTATTATTTTTTTTAAATTCTTGCTTTTTTCATTCATTTTTGATGAGCTATCGTAATCCATTTTTTCTAATTCCTGTTCTATTTTTCCTGGATTAAATTCCTTTTTTATAAGAACAGTATGCTTATATTTATGTACCAAGCTTGATTTTCTTTCAGTGCAAACTCTTTCCCCCCCGTTTTTTTCTTCAAGTTTATTGCTTGAACTGTCGTTTATTGAATTAGGGTTACCAGTTTCTGTTATTTCTGGTTTTTCATAATTATTTCTTGGTTTTAGTTCATTCTTTTTATGGTTAAATTCTTCTTTTTCTTGCTTCATGCATCCCTTTCTCTCACTAAATCTTTTGTTTCTTGCATTCTTATAGATTGGAATCCCAAAATTCACAAAAGCGTTACTTACGGGCTTATCCCTAGATACCATAAATGCATTGATTTGATTCATTGCGTCAAATGAATGACAGATATTATTTTCTGAACCCATTGGATTACTTTCTACTTTACTAATAGCCAAAGATGAGTTTGTTTTAGCTATTCTATTTATTTTTGGCTTTGCTTCCGAAGTTGTTATATCATTTGTTAGTTCTTTTTCATCTGGCGTCTTTTCTGTTCTGAGACCATACGCTCCACCATTTTCTTCTGCATTGCATTTTTTAAATAACCCCCATAAACCATCCGTGTTTTGAGGTTCATGAATTGAACTCTTTGCTGCTGGCTTCAAAAAAGATTGTTTAACAAGTGTAAGTTCCGATGCTTTGTTATTCACTGCACTAGAAATGTACATCTCGCATAGTTGCTGTTCTTGAGTTATGGCTAATGAAAGAGAGTAGACAAATAACATTACAATACTATATTTACTTATAACATTCATATAAGGGTGTTTCATAATAGCCACCCTTAATATATCTTTTGAGAATCCTCGTGATAAATGAAATCAAAAGTATGCATATTTAAAGACTGCAAATTAATATTTAAGCGAAAAAGAAATTAAAATGCATTGAAGTCTGTTGATACACAAGTGAGAATGGTGGGACAAAAGAAACATTAAAATTATTTATCGCTTTACAAATTCTCTTTGTTTTCTCCGGCAATCAAATTGGTTTTGAAGTGAGATAGATTTTAGAAATATTTATATCTTTTCCTTACTTGATCATTTATTTGCGTCCCTTGTGTGCATTTTATTTTACTTTATTTTTTACAAGCCTTTGTTGTTTTTACCAGAATAATTACTGAAAGGATTTTTATCATACTGAGAGTGGTCATTACAAAACACCCTGTTCGTTAGAACTGTGCAGTGAAATTGACGGAGTTTATATTATTGTAATAATAATGTTATCCAATATCCACACTCTATCAAATTAGATTAACATATTTGAACTATAAAATTTTTCTATTTAAACTGCAGAGAGTAAGTTAATCGCTTCTATCAAAGAATTATAATACAGGTGCTTACTAACTTTTGTGACTGATTGCATGTCCACGTTTTTAACGAAGAGGATTACACAGAGAAATTAAATGTAACTTACACAAGTTGCTCATTTTAGATTCTTTAAAGATCATTCCAACAGTTTCTACATGGTAACAGTCTTTTTATAAATTTTAAAAAGCTAATCTTAACTTATATTACCATTTTTAACTTTTTTTTTTATCGCAAATATTTATTATTTAGACTCCTGTTTTGATATTTACATGAGCATTAGACAGACATTTTTTAAACAATTCTTCCTTCTAAGAACTGTCTAGAAATTAAACTGCTTACGCTAACCTCGAAAATAAAAATGTCATTGCTGTTGTTTTGAACTTCAAATTGTGTTATATTTTATTTTGCTGGGGGAGAAATAGGTAGCGCTTAGCAGCGTAAAAGAATGTACGAATAACGTACTAGAAGTATAATGGAATAATTTTTTTTTATATTTAATTATGCGTTTTAAAATTAGTTATTTGCATCTCAGATACCCACACATGTGAAGAATAACACATAGAAGATAACATAGAAACGCATAGAAGATCTCAGATATCCACACATGTGACTTACGACGTCGACGCCAGTTGATCGTTTTACAACTTTTTTAATTTTGTGACCGTCGTTGAGCAGCCGACCCAATTTTTGGGTTAACGACTACTAATGTTCAACTCCGTAGCCTTGTAATTTTGAAACCAATCCAGAAGACAAGGGAACTCCTGGATCAAGTATTGGGAAAACTTTACCTCCATGGAGGACTTTCTGATGGAACTAACCTGCATTTGCATTACATGGAGAGGAAAACCATGAAAACGTCCCACTATAAGTCTGACAGCAGGAGGACTCAAACCCATTATCCATCTACTACTGCACTGTGCTCAGCGCAGGTTAGATGTGGAATTTGTATTGACCAGCCTGGTTCCAATCCCAGCCGATACTGGGATTGGAACCCGGATCACCTTATCGAAAGGACTTTTTTTATGGAACTAACCCGCATTTGCGTTACATGGAGAGGAAGACCACGAGAACCTCCGACGGTTAGCCTGACGGCAAGGGGACTCTAACCCATGCTCCGTCTACCACTGAAGATATTTCACGTCAGCACTGTGGTCGGAGCAAGCCGGATGCGGAATTCGTATCGACCAGCCATTGCCGGGATCGAGCCCCGGTTCACCTCTTTGGAAGGCAAACGCTCTATCCCCTGAACCATCGCGGCTCAGCTGATCGCTTATAAGCAAAATGGCTTGATAAAGTTGAGATAAGTTTCTTCCCATTAGTTAGAATGTTAATTAACATGAAATTAATTGAATACAGCGCCGTATCACAAATCGAATTTAATGAAATGTAAATCTTTCTCGTCTTTTACTTCACTTAGATTTATTATTTTTTTATGTATTTTATTGTGATATATTTTTGTTTTGTGTCCCTGGCATCTTCGATGCATGATTGGTTTGTATTTTCATGTGGTAGTTTATTAATTGTGATTCTTGGTTTAATAAATTCAATTTAGTAGGTTTTTATCCACCACATTTCTAAACAGTTCGTAGGCTTATATAATTCACCACTTTTTACAGATATGTCATGCTATATGTCAATATGTGTCAATTTAGATTCGATATTCAAATGTTATATCTACTATATTTATCTATGTCCACCTGTGTATATATATTTTAAATTATGTTTATATTTATATGTGTAAATTTAGTTTCGATATTCAAATGTTTATTTACCCAAGCAAAGTGCTTGTAATTTTGTATTAGCAACCACATCGACTGCTAAATTTAAAATGTTATCACTTTAAACTTATGTAAATTTCTAGATGTATGGGATAGGGGCCGCTGCGTGGCCCAGGTGCCCAATTTTTTATAAATAAAGTAATTTAGCAGATATGTCAAGCTAAACCTTTTAAAAAACTAGCAAAATTTGTCTAATATTTTCAAATTTAGTTGTTGTTATTTACCGTTTGGCCAGAATTTCAAGCCATGTAAAATTAGCGTGGCATTCAACCTTAATGATCACCTTAGATCCCAATCGGTGAAATTGCGAACGGTTTTTTTCTCTCTTGCATGCATTTTTTTTTTAAAATTCGAAATAAATGTTATGCTTTATATCTGGCAACATCTGACTACTTTCTTTTATTTTATTTACCCATTTTTTTCTTCTACTTTTTGCAACAAGTCAAACGCGAATAATGATCTCGAGATAGGTAAATCTTTCCACGACGATGGATAAGTAGGGATTAAAAGAAAAAAAGTGAACAAAAATCTCGAAAATAAGCATTTAAAATTGTAATAACTTTCAAAAAATTGAAATTCAAAAAAATACTCTAGTTAAATTTATTATTGAGAATTGTCCTTACAGTACGTCCAATTTCATTTTTATAGTTGCATTTCAGCAGAAAGGCCGGCCAGGTGGCCGAGCGGTTAGCGTGCCTGACTGCGAAGCCATAGGCTGCGGGTTCGAATCCCGCTCTGGGCATGGATGTTTCTCTCTCTCTCTGTGTGCTGTCCTCTGTTGTGTGTGTGTATGATGTGTAAATGTGGCCCACCCTATAAACGGGTTTGTGGCAGTGTGGTGTGGGCAATGTTGCTCGCCTCCGTGACTTTGGTTCACAGGTGCCCACTGGGTAACGCGAAATGAGCAACAATTCTGGCATAGTATAGGCAAAGAATATTGTTCAGTGCCTGCCATTGGAGAAAAAAATTATTTTTTTTCAGCAGAAAGTTAATCAGCAAACATAGTTTCTTTTTCGAGTTTCTAACTAATAACTTAATTTTACGTTTTTTTAATTCCATCAAATTCCTTGTACATTTCTCTATATTTTTTCGTAATTTAAATTTTCTAAGTCTTATTAGAAAGAAAAAAAAAGTGAGTAAAAATTCACAACAAAGTACTTAAAAAAGCCCTAGTTTAGTTCATGGACAAACATGGCCTTCATATCAAATTTAAACTTTGTAGTTACTGCTGAGCAATTGGAAAAACAACGTAAAAGCGACAGAAAATTTTAAATTGAGATTTTTATATATTTGGCAGCTTTGTATGGTAAACTAGATATTTCAAAAACATGTTTTTCGAAAATAAATTTTGTTGATATCAGTTTTTTGAAATCAGCTGTCGTTTGCCTAGTAATTATGAAACCATTAAAGTATATTTATAATAGTCAAAAAATTATGTTTCAAAAAATAATGTATGTTAATTCTTTTGAAAATGTTCAGGTCCCTGAATATAGATGGAAAATTTGACAAAATTAAAGAAGAAATTTGATCGATGCTTAGCATAATCTACGTTCGACATCCATTTTAAACATATGCGTGTCCTCGTTCTGGTAAAATATTGTTAGTTGGAAACCATACAATTATTGAAAATAAAATCTCTTTAGTTTTGTTTAAAGCCAAATTTTGTACATTATTCGTAAACCATTTATTTAATATCTTTGAGTTGAAAAACCTTTTTTAATTGACCTTGCGTGCTCAAATAATCATGCAAGATTTTGTTTTTGCTATGTGAAAATAACTGTTTGCCAGTGAAAGTTTCGCAGACATTTGTGAAATCATCCTATTACTCCTTAGTTGTTCTTTTTCACGAAGTGAAAGTTGAAGTTAAGTATTTATAACTGACAGTTAAGATGATTAAAAGACTTTTACCAGTTGTTGGAATTGATTTTCGCAAAATTTATATTCATTGTTTCATTCTTCATCGATTCTTTTGTCCCCAGGTCTTTGTGTCAATTTGCATCTTCTTCACGAGTGGCTATTATTTCATTATGATGAACCTCTTTGTGGTTCACAAACGATGAATGAACGTGTTCTCTTCAACTAATTCTAACTAAAGCCTTCGACATTTATTCTTCCAAATTCTATTCAATTCTACTTCTTGACTAAGCAGGAGCAGATAAACTGGAAGAAAACTTTTGCAAAAATGAGGAAATATCGAATAAGATATATGGCGGTAATGAAAATAAGCATTTATTTTCTTTTAGTCATTGAATTAAATTTTGATTTATTTAATTCTCTTACGTAATATTTAATTTATTCATAAATCTGGTTCTAAAATGATTCTTTTCAGTATAATTCTATTTTTGCCCAATTTTTATCAAAGTTATGTATTGTAAAATAATTGTAATAAGCTTAATTTAAATAATTTAAGCTGTTGTTGTAATTATAAATAGACGTTTTGTTAAGTGCAACAGCTCACAATTTTAGCATGTTTTCATCCTTTTATGCCCCCCTCCTCTCATAACAGTTTATAGGTGCAGTTTACATTCATTATTTATACTCTAAGAAATATATATTAACCAGCTTTAACATCTTAGTTAATTGCTCAAAAAAGTGATGGGAAAAACTAACACTTTTTGAATTGTCGAAAAAATAGCCTGTGCACCTCAAAAATAACCTCTCTAAGCTGGTTGCTCTCAACAACCTCAAGTATGAATAAAACAGCTTCTTACACCTTGAGAGGTTGATCTTTTAAGGTTGTTTTTAAGGTCAACTTCAAATAAACTTTATATCAACCTTGAAATTCCGAAACAACCTCAAATAAACCTCAAAAACACCGTGAATGCTTGTAAAGAGAGTATGACCCAATGAAAAGTACTCGTATCTTTTGGATACCAATACTTGTATCTTTTTTCTTTTCCTTTTTTTTTCTTTCTTTATTTTTTTTCTTAGATTTTAGAGTTTTTAGACAAAATTACTTTGTTATTTTAGATGGAGGCATAATTTTCTTTTAAAAACAGAAATATTTGAAACAATATCTAAATAGCATTCATTATTATTATTTTTACCCGGAAGAATAAGCATTGCTGAAAAGTTTCACATCGATTTTTGAAATGATCAGAATTTAACCAGCTTATTTTTAACTCAATTTTTCCTAACAATGCGAATTAAGGCATGATAAAAACCGTTGCAGTAAATAATGAAATTTATTATTTACTTAGTGGAACCCTTACGTCATAATTGAGACTATTGGAAATGAAACGAAATTTCGGGGCCTTACAGCTGAATTATATGAAGCGATGAAGAGGATAATGAATTTTAAGTAAGTCCCATTTTTACTTACTACTACTTATTACTTACACTACTACTTTGTAGAAAAATTTATATTGTTTCTAGGATTAGTAAAGCTTATTAAAGTCAATGTTGGCCACCCCTACAAATGAGATATTCAATCATTCAGATAATATGCCACTTAGTTTGAATTAATTTTTGAACCTCAAAGTAGTTCGTTTCTTCTCCGTCGTTGAAATAGCCTTACCAGTTTTTGAGTTTACGACTAGCAATATTCAATTCCGTAGCCTTGTGATTTAGGATCCAATCCAGAAGACAAGGAAACTCTTGGATCAAGTGCTAGGAGAAATTTACCTTTGTGGAGGACTTTTTGATGGAACTAACCCGCATATGCATTACATGGAAATGAAAACTATGAAAATCCCCATGGTTAGCCTGACGGCAAGGGGACTCTAACCCATTATCCGTTTACCACTGAGGATATTTTACAACAGCATTGTAATCTGTGCGAGTCGGGTGTTGAATAATTTCAAAGCATTGGCGAAATTAAGCAAATTTATGTATGTTTTAGTTTTTAATTCTATGTCAATCTATAAAATATTTTGCCAAAAGTGGTGCAATTGGCATCTCTCAACACAATGTCAAGAGTATTTTCAGTCATTAGAGAATAAATACTCAGTCTTTTCCCTTTACTGTCATTAAGCCATTATATTTTTCTAGAAAAGCTTTGTTATTTGTTTCTTTTTATTATTTGTTTGCTTGTTTTTTGTTTGTTTTTAGCTATGAAGCTATTCTTCAACCGGATCGATCATTTGGTGGTAAAACTCCAGATGGGGAACATTGGACAGGAATGATTGGTGACACTATTGCTAATGTAAGCCATAATTATTTCTACAGATTCGACTACAATCACGTTCATTTGATTCTTTAATATAACTCCTTTTAAGTAACGTGCCAATTGTACAAACTCTACATGCTGCAATTAATGTATGAAATCCGTCATTCTATTGAATACCCAAGCAATGTAAAAATGTCTAATATCAACCAGCGAAGTACGAAGTGATTAATATTACACGCATAGTCTAGGCCTTCTATAGAATGAGTAATAAAAGACCTCATATTATTTCATACAAATTTTATTTAAAGTAAATAATACATGGTTATTCCTAATTCCCTCTGTTTTCTGCAACCTTATGTTTATTACAACTGGCTTCAGTGGTACATGTTACTGCCATCTACTGGCTACTGCTTAAATTAAAACTTGAATACTTTCGGAATAATTTCATATGTTCTTTTTTGCCATATTCGTCTTCGTTTTTTTACTACAACGCTTCGAAACCCCGGAGGGAATTACGAATAACCCTGTAAATCTCATTTTCAGGGAGGTCACAGGCGACTAAAAATTCAAAATGTGGTAGAAACTTTTTTTTTTCTCATAACGGCAGGCACTGAACTTTCGTACTTCACCTCGGAAGATGCCGGAAGTGTTGCTCATTTAACGTTACCCACTGGGCACCTATGAACCTAAGTCACGGAGGCGAGCAACATTACCCACACCACACAGCCACAAACACCCGTTTAAAGTGTGGGCCACATTCGCACAACAGAGAACAACAACCGGAGAGAAACATCCATGCCCTGAGCGGGATTCGAACCCGCGACCATTGACTTCTCACTCAGGCACGCTGACCGCTCGGCCACCTGGCTGACTGGTGGAAACTCAATTCATTTTATTCATCATATTCATCTCATTTTAAGTTATTCATATTTGAAACAAAAACATTCTTTGCATATACTTTCTATATTAAACAGGAAAAAAATGCGCTGTTACGAAGTTGCAAATTTCAATTTCTTTTAATAAAAGTTTGAATTTTATTAGCCAACACTTTTAGAGTGATATTTCTTCCTATTCAATGGTGTTCAGTCTTTACAGTGGTATTATTCTTTTCACTATTTAAAGTGGTTAGCAAATGTTGTGCTCAATCATTTCGCTTATGATTTGATAAACTTGACAATAATTTTAACCACCTCGACTTCTAAACAATTTGAATAAATATAAAAGGGCTTAATAATTTAGAGCTTTTAACTTTCTATGCCTTTTAAGCAAATTTCTTATATCGTTAGCTTAATTTTACGTTTTAATGCTAATTAAAACCTGATTTAAAGTTATTTTGAATCATGCGAATGATTCAAAAGTTCATATTAAACGATATTTTCTTACAGTTATTTCATGGTGTGTCATTTAAAATGCTGGGAAAATTAACCAAAATTCTGAAGGCTTTAGATTTTGATCATCTACCAGGCTATGAAATATTTTGCAAATTGCGTAGTAGTTGGCAGCTCTGATAAGCATGCTGTGTCTGGCACCCCTTCTCCCTTCCAATAAATTCCCCCTTCATATATTTCCCATTATCGACAAATCAGTTAAAGCCGTTTCACGGCAGTGTACCGAGATGGACTCTATTTCTAACGTTCTAGTCGTGCTGCGAAGTTTCTTAAGCGATTATAAAAAGGAGCAATCAATTTATACCTTAATTGTTATTGCAATACCACTTTAAATGTTGTAGGAATCTATATCTTTCAGGTTTTTAACTATATAAATTTTTATATAGGCATCTATTTTTATATTATACTGAACCGTAACTACAGGCCGGGATAGCCTGGTTGGCAGGGTGCTTGATTTACGTTTGTGATAACGGGAGTTCGATTCCAGCCTGCCGAAGACTCCCCGTGTAGTAAATAGTGACTTGTGCACATTAAATCTGTCGTGTCACAAAGTCCTCCATGTTCCCATAACAAATCAATGCCCTCTGGGGGTACTGATCGCTCTCTGGTTCAGGTTAAAATTACGATCTGCGGATGAATGAATGGATGTATGAATGGGTTCGTCCTATAAACGGGAGTGACGCATGGGTGTAGTAGAAGTAGAATTCTTGGCCATAGATAGCGCCACTGGAAAACACGAACAATCGCACCCTTTCTTCCTCAATGGCCGTCGACAGCAACAACCGTAACTACAACGTTACTCATATTGCAAATTATTCATGTTTAAAGCAAAAACATTCTTCCCTTTCATTTTCAATAGTAATCTGAAAAAGTAGTGCAAGAAAAAGTTGTTAAGTTTACATTTTAACTAGTCACCAAAAGCATCTATGATTATACCATATCGATCACTAAGGGTCGACATCGGTCACTTTGGTGACTTTTGTGTTATAACATTTAATAAGTCTTGGTAGTCTTCCTTAGTTTTCCTTAAACTAAGTGAGATATTTAATGATTTTATTAAGAGCTTTTTTTCCTTCCGGAAGCAGAAATAGCTCTAAATTTATAAATTAATTAATTAAAAGAATAAGTACACTATTAATTCATTAACTTAAAATAAAAGTATAAAATCTCATGAACTGAATTTATGTGTTTGTTTCAGGAAACAGATTTATCCGGTCCGTATTTCATTGATGAGGAAACTTATATAGCCATGAAATACGCCAAACCTTTAGGCTTTTCTCAGTTAGCTATAGCGTCAGGAGTTATCTCAACCAGTTCTAATTCATTTCTAGTATTTCAAATAATTACAAGGGAGGTAAAATTTTTCAATTCTGTACTTAATGTAAATTTACTATATTAAATTATTTAATGAAAATTTTTTTCGCAATAGCATAATCTATATAATATAAAACTTCATACATATAATAACCATTGTTTATTTAAAATAACATCTTCTCATTAAAAATTTTGTTCTTTTGTGTAGGTCATAATCTTGACTAGAACACAGAGTGATCTACACTAGTACCATTAAATCAAATATGGCATTTTGGAAATGCGAGTATATTGGCTAAACTTCTACTAATTAAACATATGTTAACTTTAACAGCTGACAGCTATTGTGGTGCAAATGCAAGCTATCCTCGAGTAGTCGCAATTTTGAGTTCTTTTCAATTATTGCGGAGTTTTGAAAAGACGCAAATAAAAATTGAAATTTTCACTTGGAACATATTTTTACAAAACGTGTTTATAGCGTGTAAAAACGAGTAACCGAATTGATGAACTATAGAATAAAAAAAAGAGAAAATTAGTGATGTTGTGAAACAATGAACTATTGAATCAATAAATGACAAAATTAAAGACACTGCGAAACAATGAACTATCGAATTAATAAACGAGAAATTTGGTAAACGTGTCGAAACAATGAACAATCGAATCAATAAAGGAGAAATATAGTGAAACTACGAGACAATGGACCGAATTCGGTAATTTCGAATTGTTAGTATATTGACTAAACCTCTAGTAATTCAACATATGTTAGCTTTAACAGCTAAAATCCATTATGATGCATTAAAATGCAAGCTATCCGCGAGCAGCCGCAATTTTGAGTGCTTTCCAGTGATTTGCGGAGGTTTGAAAACACACAAATAAAAATTGCAATTTTCACTTAGGACTCATTTTTACAAAACGCGTAATTGATCGGTGTTCGAACGAATTGACGATCCATAAAATCAATAAATGAGAAAATTAGTGAATCTGCGAAACAATGAACTATCGAATTAATAAATGAAAAATTTAGTGAACTGCGAAACAATAAATCAGCTGATCATTGAATAAGCATTGAAGTCAACGAAGCTAATAATTCAAAAAATCATTTTAAGGCTAGGGTGAATCATCGAATCAATAAAAGAGTTGCTCAATGTCTCAAGAATTAAAGAATCAGAAAATTAATGAATCCGCAAAAGCAATCTGTATATCACTTCAATAAGCGAATCAGTGAAATAATGCTCGAGCAAATAAATCACTCAATATGCGAAAATCTATAAAAAATTTATGTTGTGACAAGTCAATTAATAAAGTAATAAAAGAGTCAACTGATAAATAAATTAGCCGTTTAAAGAATCAATGAATACGCGAATTGGGTTAACAATTGAGTTAATTGCAAAATCTGTAGTGAATCAATAAATCACGAACAAATAAACAAGGGAAATAAATCAGTGATTCAATTTATCAATAAAAAAATAAGCTAAAAATCTGGAAATTCAACGAAAATTTGGAAAAGTATTTTGGTGTTAAAAAATTTCGAATTTTACGTCGCCGTAACACCCAGCTTTAGTGAACCTTTTAATATAACTCTTTTTTTATCGCATAAAAACAAACAAACAAAAACACCGTTTTAGTATTTTTCCCCCTCTTTAGTACTTTTCTTTCAAAATATTTTTTCCACTGCGTGACTACTGCTTCTAATTCATAAACTTCGATAATAAGTCTCTCTTCATTGATTCAAACGGCAGTATTTTGAATCGATAACAACGGTAGAATTAATAAATAGATAACGAAATATCAAAAGTACTAATGGAATTAACCAATAAAAACAATAGTTTTACATTTTCTACCCTACACTTATCTCTTTTGACTACTTTTCTAATTACGATAAATATTACTTACATAACAAGGCAAATATTACCAAATGTTACATAACCAGATATTTAAGTGTTCGGTTAATTTGAATGAAGTTTGGAAAGATCAATCAATTATAAGTTACATAACATTAAATGTCATGAAACGTAAATTTTTGGTTGTGAAATATTGACTGGAATCAATAAAATTGTGTTAAAATTCTTGTAAAAATGAGTTGTTTTTTTAAATTACCATAGTTACCTTAAAGCTTCTAAAAATCATTTGCTTTATATGTTTCTAGTTATATAAATTATTGTATATTTATGGCTACCCAAAAAAATTTAAATTACACTTTGGCTTAAATTTTTCGTCACATTTATACAAATACTTGATCTTGCCTAATTCGGGTATGACGATTTCAAATCTAAAACTAGTTTTGTTCTTAAAACTATAGATTTTTGTTTTAAAAAAAAGGTATTTTTAGTCTACTTAATGTCAAAATGTAAAATTTTCAAAACGTTTCATATTGCAGGTGGTCGCATAAATCTTGCGACAAATTTCTAGGAAAGTTAAAACGTATCATCAGTATTAAAACTGCTTGCCCGGAAATGTCATCGTAGGCGGCTAAGGCCGCTTCTCTGTTTTGAAATGTTCAGAAGCGCACAAAAAATCGAGAAGCGCCCTCAGAGGTGTAAGACGATATTTTTGGACGTGGGTTGCTATGCAATTTAAATATTGATGATGTGCTCTAACTCCCCCAATAGTTTGTCACAACATTTATCCGACCCCTTTGTTAAATATAACGTTTTTAATTCGACCAAAAATCGACTAAAAATGACAATAATAAAAAATTGTAATTTGGAGAAAGAAACCGGTTGCAGATTTTAGATCAGCGAAACAAAAGTATCTAAGATCTTTTGAAGTAAATAAAAAAAATTGTTCTCCCTATGTTAGTATTCAGGCACAATTATAATTGACTTTTATCGTTTTTGGAAGGTATGGTTACTGCTTATTGTAGCATTAGTTTGCGTAGCTTCTACTGCAAGCATCATATTCTTCTTGAGACAAACAATTTCGAACATGTCCTGGTTAAAAGTACTAGCTACATATGCAGAACTGTTAACTGCCTCTCTCCTTGGCCAAAGTAAGCACATTTTACTGATTTTAGTCTATGCAGTAATAAATGCATTTATGCTTCATACAGGAATGCCAAATTTCTACGCTTTTGGTGAAATATTTCTGTAGTGGTAGCTAAATTTATGCTTCAATGATTTTTATTTTGTAAATTTGATTTGAAGTTATTTTTTCCATTGCTATATGTAAATGTGTGAATGAGTCAAAAAAGCTCATATGATGTGCAGTTTTGTTCTTTAGCAAAAAGCATGGTAGGTGGCACATTATGACCACCCTCCATCTATAACAATGGGCTCGCCCAGGTTTTCATGGTTTCTCGCCCAGGAACAATGTTTTCATGGGGCACATTAGGACCCCTAATCCTCATAGAACAATCCCTGACGTCTGTAAGCTACATAGTTGCAGACCGGGTTCACCCATTCATGGCAACAGTTTTTCCTGCGGGGGATGGTGTTTACCAACAGGATAATGCACCATGTCATAAGGGTCGAATCGTCATGGATTGGTTCGAGGAACATTGCAGTGACTTTCAAGTCATGTCTTGGCCCCCAAATTCACCTGACCTTAATCCAATAGAGCATTTGTGGTCCTACTTGGAAAACCAAATTCATGCTGCCACTCTACACCCTCGCAATGTGAGGTAATTGCAAGACCAGTTGGTGAGCGCTTGGTACCAGATACCTCAAACTACCTATCATCACCTTGTGGAATCAATGCCACGGCGGGTGCTAGCAGTTTTGAGGGCTAAAGGTGGTCCTACATGTTATTAGCAGGGTAGTCATAATGTAAGGGCTCTTGGGTGTACATATATATATATATATACATATATATATACTGACTTAACTGACGACTATATATCTTATCGTTATTTTCTTTTCCTGTTTTTCTTCTAAAATATTTTTTGAAAAAATTTCTATTTTTAATAATTTTTCTTCTTTCTTTTTCGAAATATATTTTTTCCTTGTTATCTTTTGATTTTCAGAATTCGATTTTTATGAGTTCTAAGCACTCGCAGCTTAAGCTCAGTTTTTCTTAATTTTCTTTATTTTCTTTCCTAACTCTCTTTTATTTAATTCTTTTCTCTCGCTTTTGTCTTTTAATTGAACTTCAATCATTAAATAAAAATTATAGCATACCATTATGAAAATTACTTTCATTTAATCTATTTATGAGCAAAATTTTCGATGAAATCAATTAGCATTATTATTTAACTTTATTACATCTCTACGTATTATAAAATGATAATTGCCGTTTTACCTTTCTATACATTCTCATTGAACAGGAAAATCGCTTGATAGAGTCATTAATAAGTAAAGATAATCATCAGCATAAAATCAATCATTAGCATAAAATCAATAAAAGTTAAAACGGTATTAACTTGTAACTATTTGTTTATCCATTATTCAACCAACCATTTAGTAGTAATAGTTATATACCATCCCTTTCTTTTTTTTTTGATTATGATACACACTTAAAGATTTACACCTAAATGTGTTGTTACTTCATTATATTATTAAGTTAAAGTATGATATTACCTTACATATTTTAATGAAGCTTTTTAATTTACGGTTTACGCCTTCACCAACATTTTACGATTAGATATTTTTTATTTTTCCAGATAGATAGCAACCTAGATATGTATCTCTTTAAAGTATTCATATCGGGAACAGTTTTTAGAAAGTTGTATTTAAATCTAATTATCAGATTCAATGCAACTTCAATAATTCAATAAGTTCACATATATTTGTCACATATTTTTGTGACATATCATAAATTTACATATATTTTAAAGTTAAAATATGGAGAGAAGAAATACGTACGAGTCTTTTTTCAATTTCGTTTTAAATATAGAGTTAGATCACTAAAAAAGATCGTCGGCAAATTGATATTGACGAATAATCATACGTAAGCATGATTTTGAAAATTAATCTATGTTTTTTTCGCGCAATGCAAAGGTGAAACAATGCTAATGAAAATACAAAACAATTATTAAAAATGGAGTATGATAAACATCGAAACAAAGCTCGAGGCAAAGTCCAAATTCACAATCTTTGGACAAAATTCGTATTTCGTTGCAATTTTTTTTTTTTACCAGTCTCAATTTTTAAGCAACAAAGAGCACGCAAAATGCTGTAAAACATGTTTGTATATTTCTCAGAAATGTGAACAACTAACGACATCCTTTAACCATAGAAGTGCTTTTAACCTAGATCTGGAAGAGAGGGTTGCACAGTTAAATAACGGGGGGAAATGCATCAGTACAGAACTCACGGGTTGCGCAAATTTCTACGTTGCCATAGAAATCAAAAGATACGCGTCGAGAGGGTTAAAGCAACGAACTGTCATTAGTGAAGATGTGAGATGTTATTCCCGCCAGCTCACTGTGGGCCAGAAGACCATGATCTTTGGCCAAACGTCAAAAATTAAATTTTCAATTAAAATATGTGTAGGCAGTTTTAATATAGCCCAAATTAAGTATTCATAATCATTCCAAACATTATAATTTACTTTTTGGACCGATAAGAGTACAATGAAATGAAAAATATGTTAAAAAACTTTTTTTTAATGCAACTTTTAAATTTTTATTTCAGAAATATATATGGGAATTTCACCTTACTGTTACATTTTAATCAGAGTAATTAGTCTGAAATTATAGTACAATTTTTCAATTTGTTGGATTAGTTAATACTCTTGACAAACTTATAGTTTATATCTTGTCATATGACATTTTACAATGTTTGAATGACTTTCGAAACTTAGTAATTCCCCGAGGTAATTAGTTAAATTTTTTTTTGTTGTCTTCTTTGATGTTTTCTTTCGAAAAAATCTGCCCAATTTTGCCCGTATTGCGAAGGTGGACTAAATATATCGAAGAACAAAAATTATGTTTTTTTTTCTTCATATTTTCGCGTTATTTTGTAATATTACTTCGGAAATATAATTTGCTTTTCATTTTTATTATAAAATTGCGAAAATTATTATATTTTCATTGCTATATTTAGTTATTTAAGCGTACTATATTATTTTTTTTTAGTTTTTACTCGCCATATTTCAGCCGCCATATTGTTTTCTTGGGTATTTTTAGTGTATTTCAAAATTTCAACTGTGAATTCAATTTACCTGCTCATAAAAACTCCTAAATAAAATCCCCCAAATTTTGAAACAAAATTTTATCGAAATACAAATTTTGGCCACGAAACTTTGGATGCTGGTCCACTGTGCAGCTGATTAAACCCCATCCAGCATTAAATCTTTAGGAATAGCTTGTTTTTTGAATCAAAGGTGGTCGGTACGCAATGCTGGTCTCATTGCCATCATCATGCTACTAATAACGAAATTGTTAAGCCATAACCTCCTTGTTACTATTGGCTTCATTATTAAAATGTATTTAGCTGAAAGATAGTTTTTTTTCTCATAATATATTACAAATATTTTTTATTGGATCTGAAGTCAGAACACAGTGATTTCTTTAAATCTAAAGTGGTATGTAAATTAAATAAATTGCTACTTGGTACAATCAAATAAGTTCTACCACTTTATTTATAGATGTGTTTTTTATATATAAACCATTTTTTCCGGCTGGACTATTTTAAGGTAATTGAAGTATCATTAAAAAAATTTTTATGTGTCTTAAGAGTTTTCTTTTCATTTCATATAAACTGTAAATATTTTCAAAAAATTTCAGTATTTTTAGCATAAATTTTTTTAATTTTACTTCATAAGAGCATTATTGGGTTGTCCACCAAAATTGGGAAAAATATAAGTATTTTAGGTTATTTGTATCCTTCAAAAAAATTTCTATTAAAGATCATTGGAAATTTAAAAAAACCTTTGGAATATTATGCAATATTCAAGTGGAAGTTAAATTGAAACGTTTTTCAATAACTTTGAGAAAACTTAGCTACCACTTTTTGATTTTTAACAGATTGGGACAGTCCCGAACTTGCCACGAAAAAAACAAATAGCACTCTAAGTAAATATTTAATATTTCTAAAAAAAATTGAAATATTTTGTTTCCTTATCAGTTTTTTTCATTGTTGCCTAGATCTTGGAAAGAAAACCAGATGGTATTTACGATACGTCGAATCCTTAACAAGTTTTCGCATTTTGGAAACTGCATGGTTTTTACAAATGGTTCTTATACTAATGAGTACTTACAAAGGAATTATAATATCAACTTTCACTACCGATAAAGTAATACCCAGAATAAGTACTTTAGAAGAACTGATGAAAGATCAATCAATGGAAGTGAAGGCCTTTAAAGGTTTTTGGACAGAAGCTTGTTTTACTGTAAGTTCACATAGTATTATTAATTTTTTTTTAAGGATAATCAGGTAAATCTTTACCTTAGGAAAGTTAACAACATGCAGGGTGACAGGAAATAATTAGAACATATGAAAATTAATTATCTTAAGAAACTGAAGCGGAAAAGTATTCTTATTATCAGTGTAAAAACTTTATTCGTTTCAAAAATTAGAATGAAAAAAGTCGACATGTTTCGAGCACTCAGAACAGGCGCTCATTTTTAAGACCTATCAACATGAGAGTGATGAAAACAAAACAGATTTGAAAAAAGAAAAGTGACGTTGCCGAAGAAAAAATGGAAGAAGAAATAAAGGTGAAAGTAAATTAGAGAAACATGAATTCCACTCCATGCCACTAGGAAATGGATCCTGCCTGATTTTTCACTGTCAGTTACCGTTATTCCCACGGATAGCGCTTTTTTCCCTTCTTATTTTGATTTTCACCTTCATTTTTTCCCATTTTTGTATTCATGACGTTTTGTTGTTTCTTTTTTAAAATATGTTTTGCTTTCATCAATCACGTGTGAATCTTGACAGAAAGCAACTTTTTGTGTGCTCGAAACAGCCATCGAGGTTTTTTATATTAATTTTTCAAGCTAACGAAGGTTTTTAATTGACAAGTTTAACTTTGACGTACAATATGCAAATTTTAAATGCTTATTAAAAAACTAAAGGCATCCAAAAATAGGAAAGCATTGCTACTAGTAACATATTTATAAATTTACAAAGTGATCCTCTTCAGCTTTAGAACACAGTAGTAAGCATGAGACAAAATTTTGCCTCAGCTCACCCAAAGATATTTTGTCCCATATCTTTGCATCCTATTTTGTCTCGTTCCTTGCTCGTAGAATTTTTAAGGATTTCAAAATCTTACTCTTGCCTCCGAGGTAGAAGTGGAACAATCTATTGGATTAAAGTGAATAAGACGATTCTTATGTTATAAAAAGTTCTGAAAAACGCGCATTGCCCCCCTTTCCTGCGTGGTGGAGCAAAATCTTGCTGAAAAGCTATTTTTCTTCAGTGAACTAAGAAGACTATAATATTATAATATATTAAAATGATTTTGCTGCAAGTTGCAATAAAAATATTTGGTTCTAAGCTTTATACCAGTTAGTTCTTGACACCTTGTTTATTTATATATTTTCTGCCTGTCAAGCTCAATTTGTAGAAGCATGTTGCTGTTGGCCTTATTCGAGGAAACGATTTTATTGAAATTAGCTGATGAACAGGTGGTGGCTTTTTCGTAGATTTTGATTTTTGCATTGAATATAGCTATGTGTTGGCCTATTTTATAAATGTTGAGTTTCCTATGTATAGTATCATTTCTGACAAACCATCTTGTTTGGTAATTTTTCATAATTAATATTTATTTTGGCAGACTATTAGTTTTTTAGGTTGAGTTTGAGTTATAAATTTTCCATACAAGCGAGGCACATTGTTAAGATGGGGCAAATTAGAGTCAAGCACAGTAATCTTTTGATTTTTACCTACATGTTGGATTGGAAGAGCAGTACCTGAAGTTTATTACTAGTGCTTTACTAGTTACACTTTGATTATGGTCATTCCAGTTGAATTCTTTTAATTAGTTCTAAGGTAAATAGCTAAGTTCAAGGTGCTTAGCTTTATTAACCATTGATATCGTTTCATTAAATAAGACTAGCTGGTTTTGTAGGCAAGTGTTTTTTTCTCGGTAGTTCGTATTCTAAATAATAGTGATTTACTTAAAATAGTCAGTCCGTTTACTTGAAACTTCAGTCCAGACACTACTCTTCTATCACATAGATCTTCTCTTGTATTTTACAAGAGAAGGGTGATAAGAGAAGAACAATGGCGATGTTAGATTTTTAACTAGACTATTATTCTGTGTCATGAACATACAGTGGAGTAAGACAATTGTAATCTAGTGTGATTGATTGCGAAGTCATGTGTATAAAGAATATATTGTATCGATCTCAAGAATGTGCATAGCTACATACCACTATTGATTCTCCTTTTCATTTTTACAATTAAAGGAGTCTGTAAATTTCTTTATAATCATTGGATTTTTAAATATAATTTAAAATAATTTTGGTTACCAACTACTTGCAAATAAATCAATTACATATGTTAATTAAAGTTTTTCAAGCGATAATATCACCGATTAGTGTCATTAATCAAAGAATTACAGGAATTGCTCAAAAATGAAGAAGTGCTCCGCCTTCTGCGGGGGATCATCGGGGAAACATCTCAATCCCAGTGAGTTCTATTTTTATTTTCAAGACTCTCAAGTTAAATTCACTGAACTTTTCACAGTAGACTTTTACTTAAGTTAAATTAAATTACATTATGATTAATTTTCTGATAATATAGCCAATTTATGCATATATATTTATCAACTTATGTCTGTTAAATTCTTTTGTAAATTCTATTGTATTTAATGAGCAATATTTCTCTGATAAAATATATTTACTGCATTTTCTCCAAATATGTTATTTTATCATGTATAAAGGTAGGATTTATCTATATTCATCAATTATGTCTTTTATTTTTCAAAAATCCAATTTTTTGTACACATCAAATCATGTTTTATCTTTAATTTTTAATTTAAGTCTACAATCAATATTTATAGTGTTATGTAAAAACGTCAATTTGTCATATTGAATTTTTTCATTGTTTTATTATTTCACAAGCAAACGGCTTGATTTTTTTTATGGCTACCACACAAGCGATAATATGCTTAAGACCTGGCAAATGAATAAAATGTTATTACTTACTTACTTACTTTAATTATTTTTAATTTTCTTTTACTACCACTTGGGAAATTCATCTTTGGAACGATTAACCCTTTGCGAAACAGTAAGTTTCGATTTAAAATTTTTGTCAGGGTAGGCATGCTGCGAAAACCAGCATACTTTAGCTCTTTCCTTGCTTTTAAAGAATAGTGGTTGCTAAACGTTTAAAAGCAATAAGTTTTACATTCCTGGTAGTTTATAATACTTGTTGAATTAGTGTTGCCAGACTGGCTTCATTACAGCGGAAAGAGTAAAATTTGGCTGGTATAATAATAAGGTAGTTTGAAATATTCGTCAATATAATATGATTTAATGCTCTAGCTGCTTTTCCGTCTATTTATTTTCTATTTTCTACTTCTAATTGATTGTTTCATTTTCTCTCTTAGAGTAAATATAACAAAATGTACAAATCAATAGCACACAGAATGGTTGGTCATCTTGTCCCTCACGTAGCAGATTTTTCAAAACTTCCTGCTTGGATAGACTCCATAGAAGAAGGCAAAGTTGTTTTCATCGAAGAGAACGTATTAATGAGAAACATCATTGGTGAACGTTTTAAACAAACTGGAAAATGCCTAATTCGTGCTACCCCTATTGATTTTGGATCAGCTTACATCGCGCTAGCATTTAACAAGGACTTTCCAGATGATGTCAAAAACAAGTTTGATGAAAAGTAAGTTTGATAGGAGTTTTTAAATTGAAGATATTGCTTCAGTGTTTTTTCTGTAGAATATTTACATATACATGTTTACGCTGTTATAACTGTTAATACATATCTTTGGAGGAATTCTTTTTAGAAAAAAAATTATGAACTGAGAAATTTTAATTTTTTAACTTTCATCCTTTTTGAACAAAAATCTTTCATAACTCAAAAAGTATTCCTGCTGACGCTGAAACACTGTATTCTCAAAAAATTTCAAAACGACGATCATGAGTAGTTTCTTAGATAAGGTATATCGAAAAAGGTCAGTTTTAGCACTACTTTACCGAATCCCCTTAAGAATAAATGTGATGAAAATAAATAAGTTATTTTTTTTAATCAAAGAGTGTGCTGTGTAACAATCAGTTTTCCAGTTTAACAATTCATTTTGAAAAATTATAGCAAAACGGATGAATATTTTCCTTATATCGCATGACTATTTGAGAAGGACTTTTAAGCTGATGGATAACGAAAACAATTCTGACAAAAAATTTAAAAAAATTTCAATTGCAAATGATTTAAAAACAGTAACAAGTAAATATTATTGATCTCACTTTATTCCTTAAATATTTATAAGTCAATTATTATAAGTCAATATTTCCTAATATCCGAATATAAACCATAAAATCATCGGAAAAGTTCGTCAATGCCTCCTTTTAAGCCAATCCTATTTCAATTCTTAAGTTATTTCCATTTATTTCTGATTTAAGTCTGAATGATGTAATAAATATCATTAAAACTGCCAATTTCACTCGCTTTTTCCGGAGTTTTTGTTAAGTATTTAAAGTGATAGACAGTGAATGTATAATTAAATATTTTATTTAAAATGATTTTGGCTACAAGGATATTAGCAACATTTAAATAACACAAAGATTAATAACACAACTGAATTTTGTGAAGTTTTTAAGTGTTACGAAAGTTTAAGAATATTTGTTTTTGTAACATGCAATAAAGAGGTGGAACAACGTGGTATGTGCCTCTGATTTGAAAAGCACCACAATGCTTATTTACTCATTTAGCTAGAATAGTCACCCATTTAACAATGCTTATTCGCTCATACAACTATAGTTCGTTCACCAGAAGTTGAGACTTGGCTCCACCTCCTGGGACGCAGAGTTCATTTCAGCGCGGGAGTTAGAAGAGAAACATCTCCGTTGTTGAAATTGAGACAACCCTTAATTTGCGCCAAACACGAAAAGTGAATTATTTTTCAGTCACTTACTTTGCTTTATCATCTACTATTGTACATTTTGTTACACTAGCTAATTAAATATAGTTTAAATTTAAAAACTGCTGTACTCCCAGCGAAATGACTCATAAAGGACAAAGTATTCACTCAAAAGAAAGAAATATCATAAGAAATGGTGCAAAATATCATCAAATTTATGAAATATTTATTGTTAAAAAAATGTACATAAAGCTTGCGAAATAAATATTTTTGCTAAACGATCGCCAAATAGCAAGATT